GATGAATAAAGCGTGCGCTGGTGGTAACGCGCTAGCCTGGCCTTACAGATGTCTGAAGTTCGAACCCCGGCACGGCCATTGGATATGCACTGATGATGAGCTTTCAGAAGGCCGAAGGCGAGTCCAGTGCGTGAGTCCGTCAGGACAGGAGGACGATCGTTCGTTCCAGTCTACGAAACCAAAAATCCCGCAAGCATCAACACCTGACACCGAATCGGTGTGTGAATGAATGTAATTCACAACCAGACCATGTTTACTCTAATTCCAATTTGATTCTGACTCGACTGGGACCACTCGACTGGCCACTCTGCAGTCGCTGCAGCCCTATTGATCAATTAAGCTCATGAGGTCTTTTTTCAAAGCACACGCACCTGGTGCGCACACTGTGTGACTCACACACCACAGCGTGCGGTCAAAACACACGTGACCGAATGACAGTCGGGTAGAAGTTGAGCTTTCGTGCCAGTTAGCTGAATGTGAAGTGGGCTGCATAAAAAAAGGAGAATGCACAATTTTTTTGGATGAACTGGTTGCTGATTGGTGAAGTGTGGTAGCACAGACGGATGCTTCGTAGAGTTACACTTGTCATGAGTTATCTTCTATTGAGTGAGAGTGTTGCTAGCTTAGGTGGTTTGCCAGATTGCCACTGGTTTGTTCGCCGAGATAGATCGTTTAGTTGAAAACGAGATGGCATCATCAGTGTGTCGTTAGGACGCAGATCGCAGCGCTGAGTGGTGGTACGCGTGTGTGAACCTAGATAAGTGCAGCTAGCCGGGGCCCACTTCCTGTTATGATAAGTTGTTGGGTTGGACGATTCTGCCGGCTCACCAATACGCTCTAACTCCTGAGAATAAACTGACGACTGGTTACGCGATTGATTGATTGGTTGGTTGATTGATTGATCGAGTGACTGATTGGTTGGTCGGTCGGTCGATTGATCGATTGATGCTAAAATGTTTACAATCAAATTGCCTAGCTCAGCGAACAAGCCGACGACCACTTAGGGGTTATGACTTTTGAGAAATCACCAAATTTCTTTGTCTTCATCATCCTTAGCTGAAGGTGACGTAAGAGTATGCAGCGATTTCAGTTTTACCTACAAATGAAGGGCAACGTAGTCATTTCTGGCGCTAGCATCCAACTATGCTGTATAATTTCGAGGGTGCTGGTACAATGATTACAAAAATACAGTTTATTACTATGGGAACATGTGAGTATGTGTCAATTACGGCCCATATGCTTTGGGCACGTGACCCGTTAGCCTTCGATCTAACCTATCCCGGAGGGACCATCAGAAGGGGCGGAAGTTACTCTGTTCGGGAGGGACCATCAGAAGGGGCGGAAGTTACTAACATAGCTGCTGGATAACCGCGCTTTTTCAAAGCCCTTTCCAACTCCTACACCTTTGAACGAGGAAAGCTCACCAATGAAGATTTATGTGGATTTATTTAGACAGGTGTAGCTGTTGATCGATTGCGACGACCTGGGTACATCCTGTCTGCGCTGACGAGTAGAAGCACTTGGATTTCATAGTATATCAGTTGACTGGGTTTCAACTCTCAGCATGTCTCACTGGTGGTGAGATTTACCAAGCGCCAGACCCGAATCTATTGCTCCCCAACCTTCCCGTTATCCCAAAAAAGGTAGAAAGTGTTTTGTTCAAGGCACGATTCTACCCTGGCGCCTTCCGCTACCAAACAGTCATTTCTCGACGTTACATTACTCATATTTGGTCGTTTCTTCTTCAATTTCATCGGGGTACATTCGGTGTCAAGTGCTCCGCCTTCCCCACAGTAACTTAGCCTAGGCGAGCTATATCGATCTGAGGGTGAATGTGGGAGTAGAACACAGATTAGTCAACCAATGCGACCCAATGCGATGTCAACAAATGAGGAGTAGAAGTCCAGTTAACCAGACAAGAGTGTTACTCATAAGTGTACTAGATTAAAATGGGGCACGGCACTTTTTTTCTATATCTGACCGTAACACAGTGAAAGTACATGTAAACTTTTATCCATGACCGAAGACCAAAGTTTGATAAACATGAAATTTTTCACTGATATTTCGCCCCGCCACTGGAACTACTCTGCGATGAAGAGCCGAGAATCACTGTGCAGCTGTGTTGTCCTTACAGGGAAACATCATTAGTGCGCATCTCACGAAACTCCAGTGATGAGCGACTTCGCGGCTAGTGGTGCGAGCACTAAATAGTTCGGCCACAAGCGGCTGATCAACAGTGTGACTAACTCGCACTTAGACAGAATCTAGCTCCACTCATCCTCCGATCACGCAATCCACATCACGTTGTCCTGTGTTGACCGGCTCTTCGAGTGACAACTTCTCAGATCCAGGCTTTACCCGTCGTGACTTCCACCTCTGAGCTACTTATTAATTATTAGTAGCGTGAAATTGTCAGAGCCGCACGGTCTTTCCTCCTCTGAGCTTCAATTATTCCGACGAGACTGCCTTGCATTTCGTGTAGGCTTAGTTTCAGGCCCTGTGGAGACCTTCATCTCAGGGCATGTCCAAAAGGCGTGACAGTATATTGGAGGTAGACGGGACGTATAGAATAAATTGAACGAGATTCGAAATTTCATAGGTCTAATGAAGCATACGGAATGCACTACTCATAAGGTTGCTGAAAATTCTTCGACAGCATGGAAACACCACAAACGAGAGATTCAGCTGAGTTTCAGGTGAGTCTGTCGCAAAACCAGGTCATAGTCCTTGAAAGAGGACCCGATTCAGGCGTTGCATCTACTCTGGTCCACGAGTACGACTGAGTTGTACATCAAAATTTGGTTTCTAATATTGGTTTGTGCGTTTGTTTATTCATTGCAAAAAGCTTCCAGACTGTGATTCTGGCGCGCAGACCGTCTTTTTTTACTGGTATTCTGTTCACTCCTCAGCACTGCCATCATCATCATCATCGTCATCGCCGTCATCATCATGACTAGCATCTGTAAGAACCACATACTTGTCGTATAGTGGTTGTAGCTGCCACGGTTTCATTCACCGATGATTTGGGGAGGTGGGGTAGGTAGCCGCGCATTGAAGTCGGTAGCTGATAAATTGGTGTGTAAATACTGCATTGTCAGTGGACTCTTAAGTGGGGGGAACTCGCAGGGGAGCTATGTATTGAAGGCAATAGCTTGGATGCATGAGCGCCATTGAAGGCGCGACTAGGCCATGTCTGACAATGTCTCTAACCATTGGTATGGCCTGTCTCGGGGTCTCCATCCAGGGTGACGGCAATGACCAGCGCAGTTGAGTTTCCTGGTACTGGCTTTTGTACTTCGCTGTAAGTCATTGTGTGACCTCTCCCGGTTCGTTTCCACCCTTCACGTTGTTTTCTGAAAAGCCTTTCGAGGAAGTCGGTCGACTGGCATACAGAGCACGTGGCTAAGTCAGCAAAACCTATGGAGTGTGATTAGTTCATATATTGTGACGAGTTATTTCAGATCTGAACTTCACAAAGACTTAGATGGTGTGCAAAGTCGCGTGTGTTAGTTGGATGTCGGGAAGGCGGTAGTAAACAAACTTTTCGGTCCATTTTTTTCAGCACACTGTAGATCAGCCCTACTGGATGTGCAACAGTTTCCAACTACCTCTCTGAATGTAGCTGACGAACCTCAGGTGTTGGATGCGCTTCGGCTTTTGTGCATAAATGACTTTGATACCGTACTATAGAATTATAGGACCACTCTGACGTTCCACGGAAACTACCTCGTGTGATGTGCAAACAGTTCAACGGTCAATGTGAATTGTAGGCTGTTTTACAAGCTGAACTGGCGACGTGAAGCGACTGTGGAACCAATCCGAGCTTTAAATTGGACCCCCTTTAAATTTGTTCCTTACTTGGTCATTTTGGTTCACATAGCAACAGCGCAGCCAAGTCAACAGTCAGCTGCACTCATCAGGCATATTTTGCGAGCTTTGTTTTCCCCTAACTCGCGCTTGTTAGGCTGACAAGTAAAAAAAACTGAGGTTGTTTCACATAACCTACGTTGGGGCCAGTGTAGCTTTGGTTGGTAAGAAGTTCCCCTTACCGGGAGAGCGGACTTCTTGCTGTGGCGTCTTCAATGGTGGATAGTGGCTGGATCAAACAAGTAGAATCCTAAAAGACTTTTCAGAAACCCTATGAGTAGTGCATTACGTTTGGAAAATTCAATTCCGTTTGCAGTGGTGACTGCAAGCGCAACATGTTGGTTTAAGGTACCCTTTCAAACTGACAAATGAGTGAGTTTTGTAATCCCGGGCGGCTCCCTAAGGCGCTGTACGCCATCTGCCGCGGCCGTGTGAAGGTCTATGGGAAGCTCTCGCCTGAGCTCACTAAATCAAGTGGTGTCCGACAAGGCCGCCCTCTTTGACTCTTATTCTTCAACTTCGTCATTGGTGATTGCTTTCCGAAGAAACCCATCGACTACTAACCGTCTGTTGTTCTATTCTCACGAATCGGGATGGGACTGTCGTGAAAAACCTGGGTGAACTTGTAATCTATTTGAAATTCTCCTCAGGCTGGTTATCCGAAAGAAAAAACTCGTTACCATTGAAAATCCAGCTGAGTCAAAACAAATCGATTTCAAATAACAATTACACGAGACGAATTAAGCAATATCGCCCCACATAAACTATCTGGAATGACAGTATAACGGCTTAAGAATCCAAAAGTTACTGTCAATCATCACGATCTTGATAAAGGTAACTGTCGAGATGACAACTCAGTGAGTTTTCAAATGCTCGAGGTCCCCCCTCTGAATGCTACCAAGGGTTAGCACAAATAACTAGAGAACGCGCATGTTTACTCCTTTAGATTCAGCGGGAAGCCGATAAGATACAGCCCGAATTCCGACACACCTCACCAAGTCCTCACACAATGTAGCAAATGTGACCCAACTCGAGATGAAACTAAAGCGATTCTTTCCCCTCATTACGATGCTGGTCTCAACTCGATCCATTACCAATCCGTGATGATTTACTTGTAAATGCCCATTTTTTAGTGCAGCACAACTCAATCTAGGCAAACCTTTGGACAAGGCTACGTCGAGTGAACTCAGTCTGTGCTCTTCGGTCGAAAACGGCGCAGAACCAATGTTAGATTCGCTACAAGACCAACAGCGTACGCCGGAACCTAGGATGTCTCGTGGAAGGCCCCACGCTGTGGCTATGTACGATTTTGACACAGGCATTGAAGGCGATCTGCAATTTCGGGTGAGTTTCTGTGTGTTTCGAGGGAAAAATACGCCGAGAACAAAAGTGCGGCCTTTCGAAAAGGCTGAAGATAAGAAGCTCTCACTCGGGCACTGCGGACTTAATTTGTCTGTTGTCAGATTACTGGAAATAATCCATGAATGCCCGTAACCTACTGAGGCCTTCAAACTCCACCAAGATCTGAATAGAGAAGCCAGCAAGCATTTAGGCCAGTCAATCAGGTCGTCAGTGGTTGACGAGTGTTTAGACACGCCACAAAAGCAAGGCCAACGATGATGAGCGCTCAGGTATCTCACAAAAAGGCGACTGGCTATGATTAGTGTTCAGACATCTCATGAAAGAACGGTCGATGATGAACGGTACTCACTTAGCGCCAATCAGACAGCCTGAATCATCGTCAAAGTGCTTTTTAACTAGCCCGAGACCCTTGTCACTTTTGCACTTGCTTGTTTGCAATAAGGCTATTATGTTCCTTGTTGATTATTATTTTTCGGGCACTGATGTACGGAAGCGTGGACGACAGTTAGATACAAGATTTATGTAGAGAACTTATTAAGGAATGATAGATGCCTTTTGAATTGAAATTCGCAAGAAACGTCACCTATAAGGTGTGCCAAGTTGTCATTTTTTCGTGTCCAAATCCCAGAGATGCTTCTACATAGTATTTTCTGAGCATTTCGATGGGAATGAAGGTCTCGACACCGTGCAGCCTCCTTTCTACAATACAGCGAGCCCAGCTGTGAAGTCTGGTCTTCTCTCAGAGATCGGTGACCATTTGTTTAACTCACGAGGAAGGCCATGAAGGAAGACCAGCTGGGATACCAGTTGGTGGATCTCATGTTCTTCAGACGGACTACTAACAGCTTGAGCTGTAAGAAGGATGCATTCAGTGGATTCACATTATACTTCGCCACTCAAGTCAGGCTGTATATAAGTTTTCGCGTGCAACATCGAAAAATACTTACTTGAGTCAATAACAAGCACCTTTTTTAGGTATGTAAGGAACGGTTTCCCGGAAAATGTGTCCCTTTGTGCCGACATTTTTAGGCAGTAGTCGTTAACGATTTATCCTTCATTTTACCTTTAGTTTTCAGGTTCACCGAAGCATATCTTTACTCAAAACCTACGCGTCATAGTTTTTTGCAACTTCATTTATTTTAAAAGACTTGACCATTCCAGTGGTCCCCTCCCCCAGGAAGAAATTGATCCAACTGGTTTAAGTTGGGGTCAGCTTTTTCTGAGTGGGTCAAATCCGAACGACTGTATGAATGGCCATCAGTTTGAGATGACAAATTCAAGTACAGTAGCTTGAGCGCAAAGACCTAGGGAGGTGGACTCGAACTAGCGACCAGCTGCACAAGCACTGTACCAACCAACCTGTCGAGGGTGCATACTGTTCTTCACGCTTACGCAATCGAAACTCACATGTAATTCGCCTTGTCTATGTAGAATGGATTAACAATTGGGGTTTTTCAGCGCCACTGCAGATTCCATTAGGTGACTTTCAAAGCAAGCCAGATGTTGAAACTGTCTATACATGAATATGGCGTTCTTGTGGAAAAGGGGATCAGTTAGACCTTGAAGTGGGAAATCCAAATGAGAGTATTTTATTGGGAGCAGTTCCTATTGGAAATAGCTGTGCCCAAATGTTCTGCCGTTGAATTGATGTGACTCAGGATTTGCTGTACTGTTCCGGAACGTTCTGGATCGTTAAAATGACCACTGAGTTGCTTTGCAAGTATTTTGGAGTAGTTCTAATCGATACTGGAATACCCACGGTTGACAAAGATCGAAGCTGGCAGAGCAGTGATGTATTTATGGGTCCTGGACAATGTATACAGTGAACCAAAGAGGCTCAGCTCGGCGAAACTGAAAGGGGAGCGGTTGGCAAACCTCTTGCATGCATTGCTTATACGCACGCATATGTAACAGGCATGTTCAGCCTTATTGGTTGCAGTGATATGCACGTGAACCAGGATCACATTTAGCGCTGACGGTCAGTGACCTTCGAATACGATTGGTCGTCTGGATGGACACTGGATATCAATTGGTCCGTTGGCGTGTGCTCTAACTCGTGGACATCCAAATGACTTTCACTGATCACCTGCACGGGTTGGGAGAAATCATTCAGAAAAGCGACAAGAGATTGGCCATTACGTTTGACGGAATTTCGGTAGATAGAAACGGAGAATGCGGTGGTTCACAACGTGGAAAATCTGAAATTTCAGCCCCGAAAGGGGGTTGTCATGACATATTTTCCAGGTCTCTCTAATTAGTCTATAGCAATTTCAACTTAATTTACTGTGCAATGAAAGGGAGGGCTGGTCGCGCTGCCCCCCCCCCCCCAAAAAGGCCTTGTTGTGGTTTACGACCCTTCAACCA